CGTATTACAAAAGTTGAAGTGTGTGTCATGGACTATTCGCAACACTTCGTCTTTCATCAACAAACACATCTTTGCAGCTGACGCATAAGCCATATCGAAAAGTCTTTCATGTTAAACGTTAAATGCGGCAACCAACGGCTAACTATGGTCTAGTTCGCTGCGGACAAAAAGGCGTGTCAGGCGGGATGAGTTTGGCGCGGTGCCAAAGCAGTTTTCCACATGCTTTAGAGTGTGTAAGTGGAAGGACTTTTAACATGTCGTTCTTAGTACACTCAATTTTTAACGCAATTATGCCATAACCGCTTCCACTACGGGTGAGTCGAGAACGAGTTTGGCGCCGTGACACATCCCTAGATGTCTTGAAACGCCATATCTTCGGCAGGCGAACTAAGTACAGATACCAAGGCTAGACATCGCTGCATACAGGTCTTATCGCCCGAATCGTCTGTCGCCGCGCAAGTTCGGCAATTGGGAGGGGGCTCATTTTTTGCACTTCGCGTCCTTGCACTAAATGTCGAGTTTACAAGTTCACTTGTGTTGAGACTGTGGACCGCTTCCCAATAAAAAATTGTGACGCAGGAGCAAGCACTTCATCCGCGTTTACAAGAGCTGTCAAGCGGTGGACAGGTGACAAGCTTTGGACTGTATATTTCGTGGCTTCACGAAGATTTCTTACGGATTTTACTTTGATAGTTCGACTCACAGTCGATGGCATATGGAACAATCACACTGCACCTCCGCTGCGGCCGCAGAACGTGTCCGCCTGTCGCATTTATAACTCATTGACCGTTATCTTACACTGTGCTGAAGAGGGGAGGGGGAGGTGGTGGGTAAATGTGTATGAAGGAAGGAAGGGAGAGTCAGAGGAAGTCCAGACGCTTACTGGAATAAAAAGGGCTCACTGAGGAGTGTTGCGTCCCGAGCATACAAAATGATGCGCATGGAATTAATATGGAGCTCCTTGACTGACGAAACATGACTGTTCCGACGAGAAGGAATCAAGTTTGGGGCCAGTCATCCTATGACAAAGCAAACCAAGCGCTGCTTAGCATGATAGGAAGATCGATCAGGCGGACACTACAAATGCCTGAGGCAGTGTACATACTTCGCGCCAGTCTAATCGCGAAGACTATAGCATCACGCAACCAAAAGATTAGTGGCCAAAATGCGTGATTAACAGACCGCGCGACTGCAACTAGTCGCGCCCCATCGATAATCGTTGGACCGCTGCTAATGCTAACATGAAGAGGATAAAATCAATTCCAGACTTTGCATTGGTCCAGCTATCAGCAGGGGTTGTGGAGCGCGGCTATTACCAGTTACTCGACTACATCGTTCGAGTCACAAAGTATGAACACGGACTGAATGGCAGCGCAGTCAAGGCGCATCCGAATTGTTCAAAATTATTTCTCCATAATGGGGTCCGTCGCACGAGACAGCTTACGTACGAATTCCAATACAAAGCAGTCTCCACTCCGATTCGTGAGCGTAACACAAAGTTTATGTAAACCATATGCCAGATCCCATATGAACTGATGACATTCCAGTCAAAGGTCACTGGTGAGTCAGAATTCCAGAACAGCGGCAGTTTTTCAACAATACTCTATCCAAACACAATGTGTCACCACGAACACGTCAACGCAGGCCCATATTTTCGCCTCATATCACCAACAAGCGCCATGTCATGCGCTGCCATGCCCAAAACTTGACAGTTGCAGACAATTGATGGCTGAGACACTCTCAGTTTGCGCAGTTTCGTTGCTTAAAGGCAGTTGGCACGATAAATCGCTATACAGATGTAGGATTTATACGACTGGCTTAACAGAATTCCGTGACCTCGGACAGGCGCTCCGTGGCGCCTTTTCCAAGGAGGGTACCCCTATAACGCCCTATCGAGCAACAACATTCCGTCCCAAACGCCTTCCTCGCCCGCCCGCCCACAAACGGACGACCGTTCCTGACGCTCGTATTCATTCATTTGCTGAGCAAATTATGAAGCAAAGGGATTGGTATGAAGCGGCCGTGATGCTGCATGGATATGGGTACAAATGCAGCCGTATCTCGGTAGCGGTTATTGCAAGGTGCCTACGGGAAACTCGTCGAGATTTCCGAGTCACTGAAGAACGGAGGCTTTTTCTTCGCCGGATTTTGACCGTTTCACTCCGTTCTTTCATTTCCCCACTACATAGCGCCCTACTAGCATTTTAGGCCGAGTGGGAAACCATCGTGCCAACTGCCTTTAAAGCCATTCCATGGGAATGAAAGGAAATTCTATGGCTGTAGGCGATAATAGTCTTAAAGGACCTCGAAGTACCCCTTCTAAGACTTCAAAGACTTCCGCAACAGAGGCCAACAAAGGCCAAGATGGCGATTTCCTCCCTCATTAGGCTCAGGCGATTGCCTGAGCCTAATGAGGGAGGAACTTCAGGATAGGTAGGTGAACCAGTAGCAAGTACGGTGATCCCATCCTCTGAAGACAACCGGACATAGAATCCCTTCAAAAGCGCCCCTGTAGCGCCGAGTAATTCCAGTAGGGTAAACACCTTTGAATGAACACTGGGCATGATGTATGCATGAGTCTAATGGACACACCTGCAGGCAGCAATTAACCGAATTCAAAGTCATCGCATAGGCTATTATTGAGTAATTCAAAAACCCTTCACATCATGAAACGATACGCTGTAAGGTATAAGCGGTGAGGGGAGGGGGGCATTTTGCAACTACGCTAGTTTCTCTTGTTAGTTCATATTACTTAACAAATTTCTCTTTAACGGGAGCTGTGAATTCTTGTGAAGCTGTGAAATGGTACATCCTGGTACAGGAAATTACAGCTCTTTACAGGGTGACGTGAACAGCACGGTTGGATATCATTTGCTGCCCCCTCCAAGCCGAACGTTGCCGAATTGTAATGCATTGAGTGATCAAGATGATTGAGTGATGAGTATGTAATCAACTCGATGAGTCGTAAATCACTCAAGTAAACGATTCCGCGAGAGTGCATTCACTCAAAAACTATCCATACAGGTGCAGACAGCTCACTCGTAGTCGTTGCCTGCTCAGCCTTTCAATTAACCCCATTTCCTTCAACAATAAGGGCATCACTTGGTCTGGGTAGTGAGGGTAAGGTTATTTACAAATATAGATAGCAAAACTGCAACCTGCATTTCACAAGCAACTTATGAGCAGGTAAAGTTTGTAATGGTGCAGTAGGGTGGAGGCTTGGTGGTGAGCTGTGAAGCATAAGCGAGGAATCGCATACGTCGAATCGAGTCGTCGAACGTCGAACCTTACCACTGAACCACCGACTCGATTCGACGTATGCGATTCCTCGCTTATGCTTCACAGCTCACCACCAAGCCTCCACCCTACTGCACCATTACAAACTTTACCTGCTCATAAGTTGCTTGTGAAATGCAGGTTGCAGTTTTGCTATCTATATTGAACAACCTTATAGACTCTATGATCTACCCATGTCTACATTCGAAGTTCCATGGTAAGTTATAAGACTTCCCTGGTTGGTATTCTGCAAGTATAATTACGCTTATCGCCTTTTTTAAGCACTCGAACCCATTTCTCTTTCCACTATTGCTTTGTTCCGTTGAGCACGGCGTTCAGTCCCGCATTCAAGTATCGGCACCACACAGCTGCGAAACAGTGTAAAACAAAAACAAAAGCCGGGTTACGAGACATACACGAGCCACTCATACATTTGGAATGACGCCAAGCTATTCGAGTCGATTTTACCATGCAAAGCTACAAAATACTAGGCTATTCAGAGAGCTAAACATTCGCCGCCCTTCCGGCGAGGGGGGGGGGGGGGGTCATTTCGCACTTTTGTTGCTTCACTATGCCCGGATTACAAACCTCACTCTGGTGAAACCAAACCTGTGACCTCTTGTGAAGATGGAGTAAGCTCGTTAAGCCACCGTGATAAATGGGAGAAGGGCAAAAGAATCGTAAATTGCCGCTTTGTCGCGCAATGGGCGCGACGCCTTAACTTGCACTACCCTGCACTACCCTCTTTTCACAAAGAAATGGTGACACTTATGTCTGATTTTGGTTATACATTGCTTATTCTCGACCAACACCACCTAAAATCGTTGTTCGTTAGCGGCGCGACGTGACACACGACGCTCATGCCCCCTCCCCTTCCCCTCCCTTCGCCAAACTGTGCCACATATACATCTACACGAGAGAAATCCAGTCAATTTTGTCGCTCAGTGGGATTCCTCAAAATTTCCATCTATAGTAGATTTTTTAAAAAAGGTCACTAGAAATCGCGTCCTCTGCGTCCACACACTTCAGGCAGCATCTATACACCAAGTTTGAAAGAGATAAAAATGCTATTCCCTTTCGATTCAAATCGTAGCCCTCGCTCTCAATCTGACCATTATCTAGATGGATTTCCATACCCACATTTCATGAACTCTAGCACTGTAATCAAGACCGCCGCTCAGACAGCCCATTTTCATAAGGAAAAGAAACTCAAACGTGCCATGCCATTCATTCAAAGCAAGTCCGTGCCGTTCAGGAGAAGGAGAGGGGATGGGGTATTCGCAAAGTACGACCTCCACTGAACTTCCTCCTCTGCAACTTCTCCTCCCACCAAACAACTACTATCAACTATCGAAAACTGTTGTATATGGGATAGGAGTGTTGCTACACCGTCATTACCCCTCCTCTTTCTCTTACACTAGTCACCAAATATGACCCTCTGCTCGGTATTCCCTAACGCGCTACGTGTTCTGTTTATGGCACACCCCTCGCAGCTTACCCCTTCTTCACCAGCAAAAATGTCATGTAGTTATAACCAAAAGCCAATTTTCATTTACAATCCCATCAAATACCGATTAATACATGCATATTGCATATTCAACGCCACCTAACGCCACCTGTTCTACTATTTTGACTCCATGACAACCATGAGTGACACCTATAGAACGCTTAATTACACCTAAGGAACATAAACAAAAGCAGGTGAGAATGCCAGATAGGCGTAATTACAGACCTGTCAACAAAGCAACAAACTCGCGTTCTACCTGAATCAACGAATTTAATATTAATCCTTTTGTTTTTGGTCTTCATGGAGATCCCTGAAAAGGCCCATCCCAAGTCCTCTGCTCCAAGTCTGGCACACGGAGAACGCCAGCTCTCCATCATATCGGCTCTCACCACATTAATGAAGCGCAACCACAATGCCCGAGGGTATACTTTGCGAATTTTCTAGTCCTTTGTTTGTTCACACATCACAGTATATGCAATATCAAATGAGCAGCTGAAGAGCCGAACGCACAAAAAAATGCAAAAAAAGAGCAAACCACGAGAGAGAAAAAAATGAACGGAGCGAAGAGATGACTGTAAAACTCACTCTTTTGATTTGCTGCAGACAAAGGTCAGCATCGCACCATGACGGTTGTTTCAGAAACTCGCGTTTCCAACGATCATTGTACTCGTCTGAACTTGACTTCCACACAAGATATTTGTCCAAAAACTGCAATGAGCGGATTTTAAGCGCTTCCAAGCAATGAATTGGAAATAGCTTTAGCCGTATGTTTCACAACAATGCCAAATATAAAAACACAAAAGTTCTCTTGAACATATACGAATGAGTCAGATATAATGCCAGCAAGCCGAAAATCTGGAACCTAATGCAAGGCAAAATTCCAGTAAACCAGGCATTTTGACACTTCTGGACGCTGGAAAACCTGCGCCCGAAAAGGAAGGATCATGAGCCACATTGAACATTTTTGCAAAGGCCTGGGGAGCGAAAGAGCTTGGTGTTGCGCGAAGAGACTCCTCTTTGCACAGGATGTCGCGGTTTCGAGGGCTTCAAGTCTTTGCACCGAAATGGCACACATTACCGGAGTAGCGCCAGAGCAGTTTCCACAGTAAAGGGACCTCATCGACCAACGCATGAAGTATGGCAAACGTAACTTATTCCATCACCGCAAAAAAAACCAAAAAATAGGTTCCCATTCAATTTTGACGATACCACGATTCTTGTGACATTAGGTTAGCCATGGGTGTCATCGCAGTTCATGATAGCAATGATTATATGGACTTAAAAACACTCCTAACGTGTCAGGACACGTCATACCCTCCATTTTCCTGAGGTGGGGGGGGCGTGACTGCGCACTTCATGCGTTTCTCGTCCAACCTTTCCTTTTGGGACAACTGTTATCCTGTCTTGTGTTGAACGAAGGCACGGCCAAAAACAGCAATATCCTACCAGAAACGCAGCCGCCCCGCACCGTTCAAACGAAGTACGCTACCACGCCCACTTCGTCTCTGTGTTGTGGAGTGTATAACTTGTTCCAACACGCCTACCGATGCAATACGTTGTCAGGTGACATGTCCTAACAAATAAGGGATTTGGACTGTTATCGTCCAAGTATAACGTCAAAGTGCGACTGCACCGGGCTTTCTTTGCGTACTGGAAAGGTTGGCGCCTTCTAGTTTCAGGGCCGCAGATTCGAAAAAGTTTATATTTATGTTCAAGGGTTGCTAGCTTTCCCTGTTACGAACATGTTCACCATTCTTGGTGCTGGTGGGCATCACATAGACCCCAATTTCACTCATCCATTTTTCCACCAAAGCCATCTTTCAGAAAAGGGAACTAGTCAAACTAAAGAGGGCGTATCTTTTTTTATGGAAAACGTTTCGGTTCCCTTTTCACTTTGTTTCGGTTCACTTTTCTCCGTTTTCCTGCTTCTTGTATACAACCCGCCCCCTCCCTTGGAGAAAAAAAAAACTTAAAAAACTTGCGAAAAAATTAAGAAAACGTAGTCGAGTTACGAAATCATCGAGGCTAGTTGATGGGGAATGGGGAAAGCGAAGAGCGGAACGGGTTCGTCCAAGGAGAACTTCATAGCAAGGGGAAGATTGATATCAAATTATTCAGGACTGCTCTGTCTCCTCACCTGTTTCGGTCCAGCAAGCTGCACTGAAGTACGCAGTTGGTTAAGCATGAGTGGACCCATACCCTCATGCAGGTATTCCCTTGTGTGCGTCAAAAGCAATCAGTGAGATGAGCGGTAGAGCTGTGCCCCTGCCCTGATTATTTTCCATGACAAACCCTATCCAAAACGAATATTCATGCGCACCTAATCACTCCATTACAGATAAAACCTTTTGCTTACGGGGAGAATCGCCACACTTGTGGGGAAGTATACCGTGGTATCAACGCGAGCAGGAAGCTTGCATTTAACAGCTTCTAGTTCCTTGAATATCTTGCCCTCATTTGACCCTACTGTTGCCATTAAGGGACCATATTATTCAGGGCGAGCGCCAAAACCCTACCAAATTGATGATTCGGCGCCATTGCGGAGATTCCGGCTCAACATAAACGTTGCGATACGATCACATGTGGTTCGTCAATATTTATGCTTCCTAATCACGCGCTCGCCGAACATTCTACGCCGATTTTTGTCGGCCTTTTAGATTCAAAATTTACCGATATACTACTTACTAACTACTTGAAAGCATCGAGGAGCTAGTCTCCAGCACAGTTCCACACATTTTAGAGATAAAGCGCAATCTTAGGATTGATCTCAAATTCTGATAGAAGAAGAACGACGTAACAGGGTTTATATGTCACTTCAAAAAAATCAAGCAAAAAAAATGGAATTAGCTACAATCAGTTCCAGAATAAAGAACACAGGAAACAAATACTAATAAAACTTACGCGTTTGAAAGCATTACTGCTAGAAATAATTTCATTCGGAGAATCGTAGTCGGTAGTATCGAAGTACTCTTCATCTTCTGGATCTGGAGCAATAAGCAGAATAATTACTTGAGTCATTAACAGAACAAGTTACTGACAGTATTCTGATGGAAAGCATTCAGTAAGCGCTTTACGAGGATAATATTGCCTGGTACAGGAACTGTTGCCGCAGAATGCCAGGAATGCACAAGATACTTGCACAGTGGTGACAAGGTTGACAATGAACAGACCAGGTGTTCTAGGGTCTGGCTTAACCGAAGTAGGCCTGGCGTTATATATCTTGGAATGGACCAAGCTCAAATGAACCTTAGCTAGGAGAGTTCCTGCATAGGAACATAGCGCCATAGGTCCTTTTGTCAATGGTACGCGAATGGTAAAAAAGGATGGCAAAAAATATACTAGAATCCGGAATAGCAGGGCTTTCCTAAAAAATTCGGCACTAAAAACCACACATCTTCTCTGAGTCATTAAAATATCCAAAATTGTCGAACCGATCTAATAAAGAGGCCCTCTTATGGGAGAGAAACCCCTCTCGAGAGAACAAAATCCCCAACTTGCTATGCAGAAGAGTAGTTGCGGAAACCGGGCCCCAGAAAAAAGCTTCAATCCAGAGATACTCCATAAATTTCTTTTTGTTTGCAAGAAATTTCGTTCAAATCACATGGGACCAGAAATTATGACGGCCAGAACACCATTACGCTCAATCCCCTTTTGCAGAAAGTAATCGGTCCATCCACCTCACAGATCTTTCCCTCTCCAAAACCATCCACCATACAACGAGACTAAAGCGAGAACAATCCCGCTTCTGCACATGGATTCTCGCGAAATTACTAGGAGGTAAGAAAATCGAAATAATTTCCTCCCCCTCAGTCAAATAGCTCTCATTTTAACTTCTCACATATCGCATTAATGGTGCGATCCGCATAACTGGACGAACTTCCTTCCAGCGCTTCTGAACCCATTCTGGGGGGGGAAGGTGCAAGAGTTTACGCTAAGTTCACTATTTCGAATCTCTCCATCAGATATTTGGAAGTACGGAACAATAGAGAGAGGGCGAAGCGCTGTCAATAAGGATACCCCACCAAGTACTGGAGCCAAAGAAATAAACGCCTATTTCCCGCCTTGTTAAGCACATAAAATCTTTGAGGGCGAAAGCTAACCTAATTCCATTTACAAAGGGATTCCAAGAATCCATGACGCATTCAAAGCAAAAAGATCGAATGTCAACTGAAAACTCACTTAGCCTGAGCAGATGTTGTGCAGAACGATTGGCAAGCGCCTGCACACGTTTACCACCGGGTGGTTCCAAAAGTGTCAGCATTGAAGTGTTGCAATCACAAGGAAAGCTGCTTCTTAGTGCTACACACACAGACAGCGACGATGTTGCTTTTCACCGTCTCCGCCCGGCTTTCTCTTTCCTTCTAGAAAAAGGAAAACAGAAGCTCGTTGTGTTGTGAGATGACCACGAGTCGACCGAACTTCACGTCAACAGCTCACATAATGAGACTGACACGATACAAGCACGAAAATACTCGAAATAGCGACGTAAACAAAATGTTCCACACGTTTCAACATGATAATGAAAGTAACATAGGTGAAAAAATTTAAAAAAATGTACAGCTTTGTTCACTGTGGACGTTGAGCCAGGGCAAGTCGTTGTTGGGGATTCCCCAGCAGGGAGGGGGTGTCGTTTTTGGCTGCGGGAGAGGGGGAGTCGTGCTTACTGAGGAAAAAATTTTTGATAGTTGATTTTTTGTTTCAGGGACGTTGTGAACAGGGGGGGGGTGGTGCTTGCTCGCTGTTAGGGAGGGGAGTCGTATTTCCCTTCTGACTATCTGAGAGAGGTTACTGTGACCTTTTCGTTCTCCCATCTCCTCTGTACTATTTACCCCGCCCCGCGCCCCCTCCGCACAGCAAAATTTTTGGGGTGAAAGTAGGAAAATTCTTGGAAAAATTCTGGAAAACTGGTAAGAAATTGGGGGATATCTAAGAAAGGGTAAGTAGGATGAGAAAGGGGACGAGGAAGCGGTCGTACCAACGCCCCAACAAGGGAATAAAAAGGCGGCACTATTGAACATTCCTACCAGAAACATCAAAAAAAGAATTTTCCGGTCGCTGAACGATGCCTCACAGATGTGATTCGCTGCGCTGATCACGCAATATTCACATCGCGTTCCGACGCTGGCGACATTTGCGCTCATTCTGGCGGCTCAATTTGGCGCCCACCACTTTTTTCACCAAAGTTGATGAAAACTTGCATATGGGGGTTAATCGACATCCTGATCACGAATATCACACTGGTTTCGAAGCGCTGGCGCCATTTGGCGCCATTATGCGCCAATATGGCGCCAAAGTTGGGCGTAATGGCGCCAAATAGCGCCAACGCCAAAAATGAATGTCGGATTCGTAATCAGGACCTCAAGTAACCCCATATGCAAGTTTTCATCGACTTTGGTGAAAAAAGTGGTGGGCGCCAAATTGGCGCATAATGGCGCCAAATGACGCCAGCGCTCGAAACGGATGTGATATTCGTGATCAGCGCATCGAATTACATCTGTAGGCAACGTTTCAGCGAAAAATTTTTTTGAGTTTTTGGGGTAGGAATAGTTCAATAGTGCCAAAAAAGGGGGGGGGGGGGTTGCATACGGACTCGACCGTAATCCCCAACTAATGATATGCCTGTGTTGAGGCTTTTCAGGGGGACTGGGTCTTGGCACGGTGCCAGCTAGTTTTCCACGAATTGTGGTCAGCTTCTTGAACTGGTGGAGAACGAGCTGGCGCCGCCAAACCAAGGTGCCTAACATTCCTCAGTGTCCGCAGCTAACAAGACTATAAAATGCACAAAATGAGAGCAGCCGCGTCTAATTTGCTTGAAAACATCAACAGCGTTTCTTCAAGAGATGTAGGTGATAAACAATAACAAATGACAAAGAAGATGAAAAAAATGGAAAAGCAGGCGCAATGGAGATTTCAACCAAGAAGCTGCTCGGCCACGGAAAGGAGCCTAGACTGGAAAATCGATGCCCAGGTTCCAAAGAGGGAGACGGCTGGAGAATTTCGCAATACCTACTGTTTATTAAATTGGTGAAAAAGTAGCTGAATCTCTACTTCATGTACAAAACTAAACGTGAATAATAAACGAATTTATTCAAAAGTGCAAGCCACCAAAACCTATACAATGTTGCCAATGCGAAGGTCCCCAAATTCCATCAACAGAAGTTTTGGTTCTCAAATGTATAGCTCTTAATGGACATAGTTCCAATCCATTAACAGGGTATCTCCTAGAAAACGGCTCAAATGCTTCATTCTCATTAGTAGTATTATGACCAGATTGCTGCCACACATTTCTGCGCGCATTTTATGGTACATGTGCTAGCTCATGTTATTCACAACAAGTCAGCCGGAGCAATCCAAAGGAAGCAAGAGATATGATGCTTGAAGAAGTGGAAACCAGCTGAAGAAGGATATGATGACTCACAATAAGGTGGAAGGTGACAAATACAGAATATTCGTAACTCAGATCTCGATCTGTCGGTTTTTTTGAGGGATTATTTGAAAAAAAATTGTGTCCGAAAATGTTTTTCACGCATTCTGCACCAATGAACTTTTCATCAACAAAAACTGGTGATTTAAAAAAAAACATAGAAGAGAAGAAACTTACACTCACACACGTCAGTCACTAGCTGAAAATTCAGGACAGGCAACGTGAAAAGACAAAAAAAAGAACTAAAAAGACTACGATTTTGATACCTTTCTCACCAACCTAAGTGATAAGTGTAAGTTAATATTAGAAAAACCCGAGAAGGAATGTAATGGCAAGAAAAGAGGAAGACAAAAACTTTAGACATTGATTCTACCTAAAGTTTGAAAGTTTAAAGTTGCTGCGTTCGTTAGTGAGGATTCCTCATCGCCGCGTCTTCACACCGAGCCCTTAAAGGGAGAGAATAAAGAAAGAATGAGGGAAATAAAAGAATGAAGAAGGAAGGGGAATGGAGGCCTCGCGATTGACAGATATCTTGAAACCAGATGCCAGCACCTCTCAGACTGCATTTTGTCCAATGCAGCCACCTCCACAACGCTGCTGACACTTTTCTGCAGCGCTTAATAGGTTTGGTGCAGCAGAAACAGTTGTAAAACAAGTTCTACTGCAAAGCTCTCATAACTTCTTTTCTATATTACCAAATATATTCTTGAACTGAT